TTATCTATACAACACTTAATGCATTCTGGATATCAACCTTTTTTTCAGTATATGCATTCTATAATAATTCTAACATTATTATTACATTTTTTAATATTTATTTTTTAGTTGTAGTGGATACAATATCTTCAATTAATTTATTTTTATGTGTTGCTAAGGATTGAACCTAGGGCCTTGCCCATGCTAGGGGAGCGCTCTACTGCTGAGCCACAACCCCAGCCCCTATTGCATTTGTTTTTATACAATTTGTTTTTCTTAACTTCTCACCTGAAATATATATAATAGAAAGAATATATAATAAGCCCCATGTACACATCCCGCATTTTTAACCACTATGAACTCAGCTATCTTGCTTCATCCACACTCTACCCACTTCACCATGGCCTATTTTTATGAAGCAAATCCCACACATATTATTTCTTCTATGAACATTTCAGTGGCTAACTCTAAATGATAAGCACCCTCTATTTTTTAACATAACCACAATACTACTATTACACCTAAAAATAATGATTCTTTAGTAATATTTTTGATTAAGTAAAATTCTTTGAAAAAGAAACAAAATTCTTTCTTGAACAAAGCTCTAAAAGTAAGTTTTATTTCTACAGTCCTCCAACAGCACTTCATGGTTAGTTTGCTTTCATCTCACAATGCAAAGCCAATATTAGTAAAACACTTTCCCTATAATTACAGAGGAGAAATGAGACTATTTATCTAAGGTATGTAGCAAAGACATTGGTACAGAGTTAAAATTCTTAAGTCAATGGGATCCACCAACAGTGTGGCAGGAGATTGGTGCTAGGAGCCAAGATGGGAAAGAGGAAGGGATTGTCAACAAATCTCGTTTAAAAGAGCCAGGTATTATGCTTATTGATGGCAGCTGGGAGTATGGAATCTTGAGAAAAAGAATGGGCCTGAGAAGGCCTTTGTGTGACATCAAAGTGTAACTGCTGTTAAGTCTTTCCCACCCTGCTCCAAATCCTAGTCTATTTATCATTCTGAAAGCCATTTTTGTCAGCTGCCCTCGGTCATTTTGTTCTGCATTAACTATTTCCTGACAAGGGATGTATCAACTGCACCAGATGAACAGGAAAGAAGACCAACTTAATCTTTTATTATTCAAAACTCACACTTGGCAAGAATTAGAACCAGCTACTGTTTCTCCATATCCTGAAGAAACCAAGAGCAGTGGCACACACCTGTAATCCCAGCAGCTTGGTACAGAATTTTAACTCTGTACCAATGTCCTTGGGAGGCTGAGGCAGGGTGCTAAGCAACTCAGTGAGACCCTGTCTCTTAATAAAAATACAACATAGGGCTGCGGATGTGGCTCAGTGATTGAATGCCCCTGAGTTCAATTCCGGTACAAAAAAAAAATTTTTTTAAATTAAATTAAAATAAATAAATAAATATATATATATCTCCATCCCAAATAACTCCAAAACCCACCAAACAACTTATATGTCTAGCTATAGTCTGGTCCCACTCCCATCAACATGCCTTAAAGTAATCAACAGGAGAGAGAACGTACCTCAAGTTAGGGCAAGGACAGTCACCTCCTCCTCTGAGGAGGGTCACTACTTCAACATATTACAAACAAAACAAGCAACAAAATTAACACTGCTTAATTGCACGCATGCTTCTGTTTAGGAAGGAGTTGCTCCTCTCATGTCTGCCCCCATGTTCCCATCCTCTGCAGAGGGAGCTCCGACTCCAGGCTCGCCATGAGTCTCAACTCACATGCACAGGAGCCTGCAGTGTCAGAACATGCTGCCCTCTGTCCTCTGGATGCTGCTGTCTTCAAAGCCTGTCAGTAGCCTACTAGTAAGAAAAGTAGTTCCCTAAAGATACAGTTCCTCCTATGAGGGTTTGGGTCGGGTCCACTGGATATAAGAACTCTGAAGGAATTTTACACTTATCCTGAAAAGTTACTTATGTCATATAAGATGATCACTCCATAGTCCTTATATCACATGATAAACACAGAGCTTCAGAAACATGCAGGTATCTGCACTGAGATTCAATTACTTAGTTTTTTTCATCCTTGGCTGTATCTCCATAGTCTGGCTGTGTCTGCACTGCAAGGTTGGCTGCCCAGAAAATGTCCAGTACCAACTTGACTCACACACTGAACCATGTCACACAACTGTTGATCCTGTCAAACTACAGATTATGATTCAAAGGATTTTCCCACCAATCTGTAAAGACTCCTCACAGAGTGATGTAGAAATTTTCTTCCCATACATTGCTATCTACAGTCTGTTATCTAAGAGAGCCTAATATTTTTCACTCTGAACTTTCTAAAAATCTCACTCAATTATGAGCATGCATCCTGTAATATTATGATGATTCCACAATATCAAGTTCAGTGGCAGTGATATTAAGAGAGAAACCAGTTCAGTAGTTAATTTTATCCCCAACATCTGTTCCATACAAAGATAAAAGTTGACTTTGGAGGACTAGGGGTATAGCTCACTTGCCTAACATGCATGAGGCCCTGGATCTGATACCCAGCACTACAATAAATAAGTAAATAAACAACTAAACAAGGCAAATTTGACATTCCCTCTTACCATATGAAATCCAAATACTGTACACCTCATCCCAATAGTTTGTCTTCCCTCTTACCCATAATACAGGTTTGTACTTACACAGTTATATGAATGGGTAAGAGCCCCACAAAGGCTCTTACCCATTCATATAACAGATGAATCTCTCCCTAAAGAGGAAATTCTAAGCACACATCAGCTTAAAACGTGTGTCTACCCTTAGCTTCATGCTGTTGGTGGCAAGCAGGTAGACCACAGCCACATCAGGGCAGCTATATAGTATCACCTGCTTACAGGCTACCCAAGGAAAGTGTCCTACTTCACCTTCCACCTCTTGCTGCTTTGAGATCTGAAAAATTTTATTTATTCTACTACAGAGCCCAACATGCCAATAAAAGTTCCTCAGCCACGGGTAAACTGTAACTTCAACCACCCATACAACATCCACTTGCCAGACATGCCACCAGGGACTTGCTGAGTCCTTAGCTCAGTGTTCATATCTTTGAACTCTCACTTAGTCTTGACCCTTAGAAATATTCACAGCAACTACCACCCTCACTTACAAACTTCACAAACAAAACATGCTAGAGCCCTAAACAAGTTCAATCACCAAACAAACTTTTTTAGTCTTAAATCTTCAATTTATCCTAACCTACCTCTGTCTGTCTCTCAGATGATCCCTGGATAAGTCCATGCCCCCTTCTCTAATCCTGGAATTAGGAACCAAAGGAAGATGAGCACTCTCCTCTCATACAAACACTGAATGAGTGCTGTCTCTAGATGCTTCTCCTCAGGAGGGGATTGCACCAGCTCTAGTAAGAACATCACTTTTCAGGAAGAAAAGCAAGCATTCTGGAGACAGCTGCCTCACACCCCTTCAACATCTCTCACCCCTCTCCACATTCATCTCAGAGATTCAGTTGTCATTCCCTGTGTTATTCCATAACTTCCTAAAGCAGGCAAACAGTATGCCCTGAGGACAAGGATTATCTAGCTTTGCACCTTGAAAGATACACTCACCAGATAGCTAGAGAAATTGTGCTTCATTGCTACACAGAAGCTGGGATTCCCCAGAGACAACAAGACTTGATTTCAAGCATCAAGGGACAGACTGAAAATAGATTCTTCTTGCCAAGCCCTGGAAGTCGCCAATTCACAGAACCCCACAAGGGGGTGAGTTTGAGAAGCACCAGGATCCTCACTGCTTACCACATTTCACCTTAGTAGATTTTAGGGCCAGGAATCCAAACTGGAGTTTGATTACCCCTTCAACATGCCCACCTACCTCCTCCAGACCCCATGATGGATTGTGGCTTGCTTCCACAGAAAGGGAGGCTTCCTCTTCTGAGAAGAATGTGGAGCTCTTTTCAGGTTCCGTATCTTTAGTTTGGATCCCATGTAAGTGCAGCCCATCACTGCCATAGCCAGAAGACGAAGGCAAAATGCTCACAGTTATGCCACTGATGGATAAATCACTCTGAGAAGCAGGCAGTTTGGGACCCTGCGGGGGCACCAGACCCAAACAGGCAGGCTCTGTGTGCCTAGGGCCTCCTGACTGGTCCAGTGGTGAGGAAGGAACAGAACATTTGGCATTCCAGGAACCTGTCTGAGGGACACCCAAAATACTCTTGGTTCCTCCACCCACACTCCAGCCCTCTGAAAGTTGGTCTTGATTTCTTATGTCAGTAAGGTAGTCTGTCCCAGGCAAAGTGCTGCACCGAAATCCAAGCCGAGCACCTCCTCTCTCCACCGCAATCTCTCCTTGCAAAGGAAGAAGCACAGCCCTGCTGCTGCAGGATGCTGTCCTCGGAAATTCCACCAGTTGGCTCACTGACTTCTCACAGTTCCTTTCGGCTGGGTTATCAAGCAGGTGAGCAATGACAGTCATCCCCTCTTCCAGGGAATCCCAGACCCCTCTAGCAACTGATGACTCATTCTCTAACAAAAGATGAGCAGTCTGGATCTCCCCTTGGAATCTCTCCTTCACCTGTACTATCATCCCCTGATCACCCACCTGTGAGTTGGGGGCTGAGTCCTCACGCAGCAAAATGTCTGAGGAGAGACACTCTACCCCTCCCACTCTGTCCTCTTTTCCAAGACTGGCTGTTAACTTCGTTAAGGTTTCAGTCTCTTTAATGACTCCAGTTCCTTCCAAAGGTTCTTCCTCGTGAGATGCTTCTGGAGTGGTGATTTTCTTCCCCCTCCACTTCCTTTTGAACCGAACCCTTTTCTTAGGAGATACCGGAGCCTTCTCAGGAACAGCTATTGACTCTTTCGGCCCCTTAACACACCCCAGTGAATTTCCCATTTCTTTCTGCTCCTGATCTCAGCAAAAATGCAGCTAAGCCAGTCTTGGGATCCCAGAGAAATCCCAACCTTGGCTTCATCGGATTTATGCACATTTAAAAACATGCACTATGCCGGCAATCCCTCCAATTCTTTCTCCCTCCCTCCCCGCCTCTCTCTTCCAGCGGCTGCTGCTGCCGATTCAGACAGCCATCTTACAGGCTCAGAGCTGCAACAAGACAAATTCAAAGCATCTCACTGCAGTTCAGAAATCACTTGACCTAAAAGCAGACAGAAACCGGATTGGCTGCGGCTTCCTCTCTCCAAATATGAGGTAATTGGAACACTGCCCTCAGTAACACAAACAGAAAGCAAAAGGGAGCTAGAAACAAGGGGAGGGGGGAAATTAGGGAGGGTGAGGAGGAGGGGGAAATGTAAGAGTAAATGGAAAAGGGAGGGGAAAGGAAGAGAGGTAACGTGGAGGAAGGAGGAGGAGGAGAACAATATCAAAGAGGGAAACAGCAAGCCAGCTTGGCTGGTACCAACCAGCCAGGGGAGGGAAGGGCCAAGGAGAGCCAGGGCTGGGGAAGCTACAATTATGGCTCCCAAACTACGAAATGAAATGGATTTTAATAGTTGCACCAAGGTATCCAGTAAAGGAAAATATCACAAAAGATAGACAAATTCTCCATTTCTTCAGGTCAGAATACAATTATTTTAATCAAATTTTAACCCAAAGAGAAACTAGAGCCTACTGCACACAGTGAAAAAAAGGAACACAGGTTTTAAACATCTAGTCTCATGTAGTATTTACTTCCCTCCTTTTCCCTAAAAATAGAGGGGAAAAATCTGTTAATTCTGCAGGCCAATAACATCTGGAAATTGATTTTGAGTATATGCGAAAACTCAATGGAAAAGATATTGCTTCAAAATACAACAGAGAACTCCAATAAACAATATATGACAGAAACATTCAGCAGTAATCATTGATGGAGTTGTTGTCACTAATAACATTTTTTTTGCATACCTGTTATATGCCAGTCACTATATGAAGCTGCATACATGGATTATCTCATTTAATTGTCACAGTAACTATGTGAGGCCAAAATTATCATTTAATGTTTTACAGGTAAAGAAACTGAGGTTCAAGAAAGGTGACTGATGTGCCCAAGGTTAAATACCAAGTAAGTTACAAAGCCAGACGTGAACTTCTGCCTGAGACTTTTCATTTCGACACCATGTATGTTACGTCACCTTCTGTACTTGGTTGAATGAAATAGAAAGATCTCCTATCATTTTGAACTGGCGCCTGGACTCTGCAAAGAAGAGGTAATACTTGGGAGAAAGCTGCCAGTTGGGAGAAAGAAACTACTGACAGGAGGCACAAGTGATTTTTTTCTCAAACTGCAACAAGGAAGGAAGTCCACTTGATATTAAAAGTTGGACTCAAAATCACCCTGTGATAGCAATTAGATTACTCCACCCCGATTTGTTCTGTATAGTATCTGACAGATTAGAAAACACTACAACTTAAAGGGCCCTGAATTGAGTGGAAGAGGTTATGTTTGCTTCTTGCCTATTCTTTGTTCCTGCCCCGACCCTCTGTAGGGCTGGGGATGGAACCCAGGGCTGTATACATGCTAGGCAAGTGCTCTACCACTAAGCTGCAACTCCAAGCCGAACTTTTTTTTTTTTTTTTTTTAAATCCTGGCTGCAAGTATTACTCCTGCCTCAGTCTCCAAAGTAGATGGGACTACAGGTCCACCACCATACTTTGCTGCAGTTGTTTATTCTATATCACAAAGATCCAGACCAAGCAGCAGAAGGAAGCAGTCAGCCTGGCTCTGTATAAGTCCTAAAGGTTGTACCAGCACAGCCCTAGCCACCTTTCCGGCACACTTAAACTATGTCATCCTCAATAGGAAAGCTTGAGAAGGCCTAAAGCAACAGCTCCCTAAGCAGCACCTTCTGAGGCTGACCATGGGCCAGCAGACTACAGCAGAAAGGCACTTTTCAAGCCTTTCCTTGATGGCTGATGGCAAAGCTGCAGCGCCATCTAATGGTCATCATAAACTATAGCAAGAAATGGAAAAGGGCATGAAAACTCAGGACAGCAAATCACTTAATTAACAAAGCTCCTGACATTACAACATGAAGTCCTCTCAGCAGCTACCTTCAATGAAGAAAATGGGAACTAGGAAACTTTTCTTTTCATACCAGGGATTGAACCTAGGAGGAATTTACCACTGAGTTACATCCCCACCCCTTTCATTTACTTTTGAGACAGGCCTTCACTAAGTTGCAGAGGCTGGCCTCAAACTTGCAATCCTCCTGCCTCAGCCTTCCAAGTTGCTGGAATTGCAGGCACATGCCCCCACACCTGGAAACTCCAAGGCCTAAACATGAATTTTTTAAATGAAATAACAAGCAAACCAAATTCTTAACACTGATCATCTCAGGCTAGAGACTAGGTAGCTTAATATGACTACTACTGCTGTAAAAGTTCTGAGAAGCCTAGCATATCTACTTCTGTGAGCCTCATCTTTTGTAAATTTCTGCATATGCCAGACACATTAGACTCATTTCCTCCTGCTCCGGAGAAAAACTGGTTTAGGACAGGAATAGAGACTTCAGTAGCATGGAATTAAGTTCAAATTCCCAGCTTGGTTAACTTAGACGCTAAGTAGTCTAACCAATTTAGTAGGTGATTCAGTTTCCTTACCTGTAAAATGTGGATACTACCACCTACTTAATGGGATGGTAGAGAGGGCTAATGAAATAATGTCTATAAAGTACTTAGCTCAATGCCTGATCTACAGTAATTCCCTTTACTTCCCATTTATTTCCAAGATAAAAGTTAAGAGACATCCCCAGCCCTCAGGGGAACCTTAATATATAACACACTCTTTTTTCTTGTCTGGTCTCTAAAGAAAGTAGATATATATTCCAAGATCCAAAGTTTGGGAGCTTGTTTTCCCTTCTTACGGGTTGCTTCTATATTTTTCCTAAATTAACTGTGATCATAGAACGTTTCCCTGGAAATTTTTCTCATCTAGCCTGGGCTCTAAACACATGGCCTGCTGCCTTCTAGGAAAACAGATTTGGGGTATACCTGCTCTTCATGGCTTTTCCTTTGACTTTTTCCAGTTAACCATTTATTACCCTCAAATTTTCCATAGAGAGAGTTGGAGCAAAAGAATTCATTCATTTATTCCACAAACACGAATGACATCCCATCTATATGCCAACCATTAAATGTCATAGCACACAAATATACAGACCTCAAGCCCAACCAGTTAAGACCACCCTTTATCTGAACCCTTTGAATTTTTTTCCTAAAGTTCAGAATGCTAAATATACATTTGTATTTAATCAATATTTGAGCAGGGTGCAGTGGCACACACCTTTAATCACAGCCACTGGGGAGACTAAGGCAGGAAGATCACAAGTTCAAGGCAAGCCTCAGCAACTTATGGAGGTCCTAAGCAATTTAGTAAGACCTGTATCCAAAACAAACAAACAAAAAACAGGACTAGAGATGTGGCTTAGTAGTTAAGCACCACTGGATTCAGTCCCCAGTACAAACAAAACAAAACAAACAAACAAACAAACAAAAAATACTTTGCGGGGGCTGGGGATGTGGCTCGGCGGTAGAGTGCTTGCCTAGCATGTGTGAGGCCCTGGGTTCAATCCTCAGTACCACATATAAATAAATAAATAAAATAAAGATATTGAGTCCAACTACAACTAAAAAATAAATATTAAAAAAATACTTTTGAAAGTTGGAAAACTAATGTCTGACTACAAAGGATTGATAATATCCTTTAGAGGCGGTGTGGTAGTGCACATCTGTCATCCCCAGTGACTTGAGAAGCTTAGGCAGGAGGTTCACAAGTTTGAGGCCAACTTTGGCAACTTAGATGTTTCAAAATAAAAATTTTTAAAGGTTTGGGATATAGCTCAGTGGTAAAGTAACCTGAGTTCAACCCTTAATACATCCCCCACAAATCTGTTTAATTGTGAAGATGAATATACATACCATGATCACATACTTAGAAAAGTATATGAGCTATTCATAAATAAAAATTTAAAATAAAAGAGAAACCCTACCATTTAGCATATAATTAAAGCATTTCAGACCCATAAACCACTGGTCTCAGGAGCAGTAGCAAATTTTTATTTTGGAACCAGACTACCCTATTCCCTTGAGATGACAACCACCACTACATCTGCATGCACATCATTCTTCTACATCTTCACCACTAACAACAGAAACTGGCTATAATGACTATTTTACTGATCTCCTAACATTTGACAACTCTACTCCAGATTTGTTTGGCATTATATAGCATGTAAGCTAGGTGAGAACAGCTAATAGATATGTGCAAAAGAGAAATGAAAACATACATTAACATAAAGACTGTTATAAAAATATTCATAAACATTATTTATAATAGTACCCCCCCAAAAAAAAAAACAAATGTCCATCAACTCCTGAAGAGACTAACAAAATATATATCCATACAACAGAACACTATTCAGCAATGAAAAGAAATGAAGTACTGATACATGCTACAACATGAATGAAACTCGAAAATGTTATGCTAAGTGGAAGAAGTCGGATATAAAAGACCACAAATCATATGATTCCATTTATATGAAATGGCAGAATAGAGAAATCTAAAAAGGTAGAAAATGGATTAGTGGTTACCTGACGCTAGCGATGGAAGTGGGGAATAACTGTAAATGGACAAGAGGGATTTTACTGGGATGATGAAAATATCCCAAAACTGGATTCTGGTGATGATTACACAGTTCATAAAAAGCAATGAATTAAACAATTAAAATGGGTCAATCTTATGGAATATAAATTATATCTTAGTGAAGTTCTTGTAGCTATGAAAAAAATAAGTTGCATAAAAATGCATTTTCCTAAAATAAACCATCAACAGAATAATAACTAAAAGGTGTTTTCAAACAACCAATGGGCTGGGGCTGTAACTCAGTGGCAGAGTGCTTGCCTCACATGTGTAAGGCACTGGGTTCAATCCTCAGCACCATATAAAAAATAAAATACAGGTGTGCCGTCCATCTACAACTACAAAAAAAAAAAAAAAACTATAGAGAAAGGAAAAAAACAGTAGAGGGGGCAGAGATGAAAGTTAGATCTCTGAATCCATTTTGTATTTTGGGGGGTGTCTGGGGGTGGTAATCAGGGATTGAACTCAGAAGCACTCTGCCACTAAGCCACATCCCAGCCCTATTTTGTATTTTATTTAGAGACAGGGTCTCACTGAGTTGCTTAGCACCTTGCTTTTGCTGAGGCTGGCTTTGAACTCATGATCCTCCTGCCTCAGCCTCCTGAGCCGCTGGGATTACAATCATGCTCCACCACACCCGGCTGTATTCACTTTTTTAAATTTCCCTTTGGAACAATGTAAATGATCTACATAGTGTAAATAAAGCAAAAGGGAAAAAAGCAATCCCTAAAGACTGAAAGCAAATGAATATAACTGAACCTACGTGTTTACTGAATTGTTGGTTTAACAAAACAGAGAAATTATTTCAAATGACTTTAAAATGTTTTAAGGACAAAAGAACTGCAAAGAATTGTAAACCTCTACGTACATATTGTTAATTGTAACACTGATATTCATGTTGATTATATACAATATTTATGATTGTGTGTGGATGGAAAGGGAATAATTACATTACTGTTGTTAAAATAAAGAATTTCAGTTTAGGGGAGAAAAGAATAATATAAAGTCAAAGAAGTTAAATAAATCCCTAGAATCCTACATTTTAATCCGAAATATCACTATAAATTCATTATTTTTTAAAAAGAGATATATACAAGTATTCTCTAGCTCTGCACATACACATACACAAAAGCCCAGAAACAATGAGCAGAACCTGGCAGCACTCAGATTGTGGTAAAAAATAAGGAAATGGTTCCTTGGAGAAATTCAGAATTTCAGGCTTGAGACATGAAATACACAAAAAGAGTTTTGGACATCTCATCACACAAGAAATAAAGGAAATTAAAGAGTTATAAAGTCATGCCAAAAGATTCAGAGTTAACTTGAAAAGCTCACACTGGACAAAGACACAGCTATTTGAGTATCAGGAAGAATGATAAATATTTGATTGGAACATATTAGGTCTGTTAAAAATCCGTGAGTTGTAGAGGCACTAAAAAAACAAAGTTCAAGGCTGTGGCTCATTGGGGAGCGCTCACCTAGCTTGTATGAGGCCTTGGGTTCGATCCTCAGCACCACATACAGATAAATAAATA